TAAAATCCTGAAAAATTTTGATGAAGCAATAATTGTAGATGCTGCAAGTCTGGATCCTGAATCTTTGTATCAGCGAACATATGCAGGGTAAGGTTCATTCTGTGTATCTTGCTCCTAGTTATGTTTCATCTCTGTTTCATTTTTGCTGTGTCCTCCTGCATGCATGTGTAAATGCAAGATGGTGCCATCTTAATACATGTCTTAATATTTGAGAGTACATTTATGTGATTTAACACCAGTGTCATGGTGAATGTTTCTGTGACCAGAATGGCAGACAGAAAAGTATTTCCAATTGTATTTTCTCTTTATACTGGCTATTACTGCTCTTTGACTCCAAGCTCAGTAGTTCCAATCTGGGGAAGGAGCAGAAAAGAATAAGCTCAGGCTCCTTTGATATTGTAATGTGCAGCTTTGATTTCTTCCTACCCCAGTGGCACAGAAGGGCTTATACTTCACTTCCTTAGCAGATTGCACAGCTATTTTTCTGTTTCTTAAGTTACTTTTTGTTGTAAAGCTCTTCTGCTTTGTGTATCTCATACAGAAATTCTTCGTTTCTATAGCTACCTTTTCTGTTGCACAGTCTCCTGTCCTTTTGGGTATGGTAAACTGATTTCTCCCTAATGACATGTTTTTGTGATAGTGTAGAGCACTTGCTAGCACTGCCTGTTGATATCTCATGGTTGAGTCATTGAAACATTTGCCTGCTTCTACTGTCTACAAGAATTGTTAAGATACACTTTGAATTCAGATACATGAGAAGAGCTGGAGATTTTTCCCAATATATTCATTTCAGGTGGCAGAGGTGGTAACTGGTGAAACACTGGTCTTCTGACACTGGAGTCTTTATCATGGTAGCTTTTTTGTTTTCTTGACTGCTAGCTTTCCATAATGCTTTTACTCATCCTCCCTTCAGGAAGATGACATTTGGACGAGTCAGTGACCTCGGACAGTTTATCAGAGAATCTGAACCAGAGCCTGATGTCAAAAAATCAAAAGGTTTGCTTTCCTCTTCATGTCCATGTCTGTAAATCTGAAGAACTGTTCTCTTCCTTACTGCAGTCAAGATAAGCAAGACTCCTCACTCTTTCCAGATCTGTTTTAAGCCAAATGGAGATGGGGACTGTCCTGTACTGAGGCAAAACCCATCTCTGGCCCAGTTTCCTATCCAAATTCTGCTTTTCTGGTCCAGCTGGACTCCTGGGAGTCTGAGCAGCCTGTGGGAGTTGGAGCTGTTGATGGAACCTGGCAGGGATGAAAGCTGCGAGCAGCTGTGGGGGATGGTCAGGCCTTCAAAGATTGGGTCTTGAGATGAAAAAGAACTTCAGCTCTCCGCATGCTTCCCACCCAGTTTGGGATCTGCTTGCTGGTAGTGCTGCTTGTTAGCTCTGGTAAAGAGGAATGGTTCAGGCTCAGTGTCTCATGAACCATGGCTCCACGTAATCCCTTGTCTTCCATGCAACTCTTCCATGTTCTCTAATGCCAGCAGTGCAAACTCTTTAGAAGAATGAAAGGAATTAGCTTTTATAGAGCTATGCCACGGACTTTGCTAATGTACCTTGCTTGCTGTTTTTTTATCTCAACTAGGGTCCATGTTCTCACAAGCGATGAAGAAATGGGTTCAAGGAAACACAGATGAGGTGTGTCTTTTATGTCGTCCTGGTGACTTCCTTCACAGTGTAGATTAGGGAAATAAAGTATTGAAGTTCTTAATCCTGGCCGTTTCTCTGAGTATCTTTCTGATGCACCAACAAGAACTGTCAGACACTGTGCTAAATATAATTTATTTGTGTGCATATGTGAGACTACTTTGATTTTTGCCAGTGATTGCCGGTTTATTTTAGTATAATGGTTAACTGTTTGCTTGCAGTCAAGGGGTTTCTTGTTATGGTGGCGTTACATATACACATTTGGGAGTGGAGGTGCTCTTGGCCTTTGTTTTGTACTGTGAAGTTACCATTGTACATGGATTACAGTCTGCATTTTCCCCCCTTGAAGGGGCTTGGGCAAGTCCCCAACAGATAAATCTAAAAACTTCACTAAGTCTCTTGGAAATTGCATCGGGACATAAATACAATAATTGAAGTTAATGGCGTACTTGGAAAGCAGGGGCATTTCCATCAAGGGAGGATACGTTTGCTGCAGGTCACTGTGTTGTGAAGGTTGACTGCATCTCCAAAGTTGAGCCTGTGAATTATGCTGAGGGCTGTCTTTTTATTCCAAGACCTTGAAGCTATCTGTGTTTTGGGTGTTTTTTCTGTGGCAGGCTCAAGAAGAGATGGCGTGGAGGATAGCGAAGATGATAGTCAATGATGTTATGCAGCAGGCACAATGTGAACAGCCTTCGGAGAAGGTTACGAAGGTAAGGGGGTGGAGAGGCTGCTGCCTGTATCTGCCTTAAGCCAGACTGTGGGAGGAGGAGAGCTCTTGCCTTCCGAGAGCATCTGAAACCCACGCTGGGAAATGTTCAAACTGGCATGGCATGATATGAAAAAATAAAGGTTTGGGAGTGTTTCAGCCTACATATGATGTAGAAATTTCTTAAGATGCATCTAGTGGTTCTCATGTGGAAGCATTAAAATTGACTGTCTCCATCTTGAGTCTTTACAGACTGCCGTAGTACTTAAAAGGGTGATTTGTGGTGCAGGGTCAATGCTGTAATTCCTTATTTGAGTTTATGCTTGCTTTTTCATGTTGATGTATATTAGTGTATTGACCTAAAGTGTCAGTAAAACTCAACAGCTGGAAAGTTGCTTTGTTGGGTGCTCTGATTTACTGTGTCTACACCTTAAAAGAGACCTGGCAGTCCTGTCCATAGGCTGGTAATTTGATGTTGTGTATTGGCGTTCAGTGACTTTGTACAAGTCCATGTGTTCTCTGTTTAAAAAACCCCACAGTTCTGATGCAATGGAATGGCAGGAGTTTACCAGGTTAGCATCCAGGAATTCCAGCTTTCAGGCAGCTGACTTGTTAACTTTTAACTTGCTCTATTTTTAATTACTGCAAGTAAGCATGTGCCATACCCCAGTTATCTGAACGGATCTATCCATACTTGCACTGTGTGACTTTTTAATAGAGCAGTTACATTTAAATGACTTTTATATAATGATTTCACTTAGTAGTGAGGCTGCAAATGATGTAGTTCGAGCCTGGCCAGATGGAAGGGTCACTCAGCACAGAGTTTAGAAATACCAAGTGACTGCAGATGCTCTGGATTCAATTAACTGAGCATGGTTGCTGTAATCAGAAGGTGGTTTGAGCTGTGGGACTAGTTGGGTTTTTTCATCTCCCAGACTCACGAGCATATGTGACTTCATTTTTAAACACAAAATGTCTTTCTATGTAGTGACTGCCTTGTATATTTTAGGGTAAAATGAACTCTAACCTTGTGTTTCCTTTTCTAGCTATGATTTTAGAAACGCCAGAATAGGAAATCTGTTTTTCCACTTCAAGAATGAGTGAACTTTCCCTTTTGGTGGATTCTTTAACACAGCCAATAAAAACAAAGCACTGTTACTCCAACCGCCGAAATCTCCCTCATCTAGGAGGAAGAATTAAAAAGAAGCAATCCTGTACCTCCACTGTAGAGCGTGAAGAAACACTTTTTCCTGTTGTGTGTGGCATTCACAATAATGATGGGTTTTAGAGATGAAGATGCAGTTTAAGAATGTGGCACTGAGAAACTGTGATCAACTTCACAAATACTTGACCCTGTCTCAAAAAGACTTTTAAGCAAATTATCTGTAATGGGACACAAGCCACAACAGACGGGAAGGTTTTGCCGTAGTTTCTAGTTCTACTACTTGTAATTTTTAAACACATAATTGGAAAGGCCAGAGGAGCATCCCTAACATTGGCCCCTGGAGAAGTGAAGCTCAAACAGTGAATTCATTGGCAGTGAATGACCTAAAAAGTTCTAAGTTTTATTTTTCCTTACTTGAAATAGATGAGTATTCAACTGTAAGATAAATGTGTTTTACTTCATAACTACATTAACTTTGAAGGCAGTGTAGAAGGATCAGGAGCAAAGCCTGAACAGTGTAACTCTTCCTTGTCGAGGTCTTACATTTGCATACACAAGTCCCCTGCTTCTGACACAGAGCAGACACAAAAGCTCATCTTGCACTTGTGCAGCTTCTGCTCCCAAGCCATGGCTCTGAAGGCAGGGTTGTGTCCTGTAGACTGCTCCATTTCCTTTCCTCTCCATCCCACAACCAAGGGAAAAAAAAGTAGCTGCTGCCATTCTCCATAGCCTGTCTTCCACCAACACCGTATCTAATTCCAGATGTTTGGTTTACAAAAAAATACAATTTTAAAAGACCTGCCCTTCCTGTCTTGCAAAACCTTTAGTTTAAGTGAAAAAGCCACTCTGTTACACAGCACCTCCATTAATTTTTCCAATTACTTGATTTTTGCAGGGTACCAGAAGTACTCAGTGTCTCACCGTTACGTTACTACTGCATTTTTAGTGTACAACACTTCTGTTTTGGGTTTTACTCTTTACGATTGCTTTTTTCCCTTAAATTTGTGCAAAAAAAAAAAAAATCACTTTGCAAAGAACTCGAATCATCTCCAGTACTCAGACTATCTTGATTGATGAGCAAGTGTTACTCTGTTGCAATATTTGATTGTCTAGAGCCACACTGTATTGTCTATAAAAAAGCAAAACAAAAAAAGGCTGTGTATAGGTATTTGGTACTATGTACCACTTCTTATTTCTCTCATGCCCAAGTATTCATGTACTTAAAACATACTCTATTTAATTGTGTTTTGATTTAAAATATATAAATATTAAAATTTGTGTCAGTTTTCTGTTTTGATGGGATTTGACTTTACACTTTTATGTGAGCTTTAGGGGTTTAAAAACCAGGTAAACCCCTCAGCAGTCTGGTCTTGGTGCATTTGTGCAGATTTATTAATATTTAATAGTATAAGCTTATGGTAGTGTGGTGAAATAAGAATAATTTCTATCTAAATGCTAAATAAGGTGTTTTAGTCACAGGATGCATCAGTTGGTATGGTCGTTTAGCATGATATTGAACTATGCACATGCACTCTCTCTTCTGTGGGGGAAAGCTAAACCCTCATGGGTTCTGTGTGTACCCCTTGGGTTTCTGCCTTGGCACTTGCTCTGGTAGTTACTGGTTTGTGCTGGATGAGATGGGTGATGGGGAATTTCTTGCTATATTGCAGGTTTATGTCTCTGAGCGCAGGGTCTTCCCTCCCGCGTGTGCAGCACAACAAGCCAGTGTCCATATGATGTATATGGTTTATGGTGAATGAACCACGCAGCCTCCTCTCCTGCTCCCCGCAGGGTTACACACACTGTGCCTGGGCAGGCTCTAGCGTGGCATTAATTCGTGACCGGAATGGGGTAGTTGGAATATTTTTTGCCGAACTTAATGCTTTTTATTTTAGAAACGCAATAAGAGGCGCCGGGGCGGCCTCCTTCATCCCCCTCCATCCCGTCCCCGCTGCGCCCCCGGCGGCCTCGAACCCGCGGCCCGGCGCTGTCCTTACCGCCGGCCACCAGGGGGCAGCAGCGCCGCGCTCAGGGGCTCCGGAGGAGCCGCTTCCGGCCCACGTGGGCCGCGCACGCACATGGCCGCGGTGAGCGGGGAGGGGGCTTGGACGGGGGAGAGCGGGGCCGGGGTTGGAGCGGGGCCTCCCCACCCCGCGGCTCCTCCGTGGGCCCTGCTCGGTGCAGGATGTTTCTCCACCGGGCTCCCCTACAGCGGCTCCTTCTCACCCCCCCCCCCCCCCGTATCACTGCCGGGTGGGTGCTGTGGGGCTGCCCCCGCTCCCTGGGGCATTCCCGGTGCTGATCCCGCTGTCCCGCAGAGCATGTCGTCGGACGAGGACGTGCAGCGGCTCCTGATCCAGTTCCGGGATGAGGCAGGAGAGGCCCTGGGCTCCCCCTTCGATGTCCCGGTCACCATCACCCCGGACAAGCTGCAGCTGGTCTGTAACGCACTCCTGCAGAAGGTGAGACCCTCCCTTGGCATCCCATGGTACCTCCGAGCCCAGCCGGGCCTCCCCTCGCTTACCCCTCTTGCCCTTTCCCCCAGGATGAACCGGTACCTCTGGCCTTCTTTGTCCACGACGCCGAGATCACCGCGTCACTGGAGAAGACCTTGGTGGGGCAGAGTGTGGAGACAGAGAAGGTCCTGGACATCATCTACCAGCCGCAGGCAGTGTTCAGGGTGCGGGCAGTGACCCGCTGCACCAGCTCCTTGGAGGGACACACCGAGGCTGTCATCTCTGTAGCCTTCAGCCCCACTGGAAAGTACGAGGCGCTGATGGGGGTCTGAGGGTAAGGCAAGAGCCGCTGTCATCTTTCCTTGGGACACCACACTGAGCCGGGGTCTTCCTCCTCTCCCAGGTACCTGGCGAGTGGCTCTGGAGACACCACTGTCCGATTCTGGGACCTCAGCACAGAGACACCGCAGTTCACAGCCAAAGGTGGGTGCTGGATGTCCCGGGGGGGGCAGCTCCTGACCCCTGCCTGCTCTGGGGGAGCAAAGAGAGCAGAACCTGGTGCTGCTTGAGTCATGCATTCTGGGACCATGGCGCCTCTCTTTGATTAACTAAGTGGAGGACAAAGGTTTGGCCAGGAGGAGCGTGGAGGGTTCCCTCACCTCCAGTCGTGGTGGGACATCACAGACAGTCACAGCTCTCTATTCATACCTGCTCGTGCTCTCTCTGCCAGGTCACCGCCACTGGGTGCTCAGCATCGCTTGGTCACCTGATGGCAAGAAGCTGGCCTCAGGCTGCAAGAACAGCCAGGTATGTGTGGTGGTGGGGGAGTACTGAGACCTTCTGCAGCCCTGTTGCCCTGTTCTGAACTGAACTGACCCCTTGTAAAGGGGCTGTGGGGGACGAGGGCTGAAGATGTGATTTTCTTGGGTATAAGGGGTGTATCCAGGTGTTTTGAGGGGGATTCCTGTTCTCCAGAGAAGCTTTGCATGTGGGTCTGTTGCAGTAGTTGTAAGTGGCGTCTCTTAACTCTGTTCCAGGCAGAGCTCGGTCTTTGTTGCCTTTGCAGGCCTCTTGCTGCCGAGTCCTGCTGTCTTGGGGCAGATGGTTTTCCCTCTGCACAGGAAAGAGTCCAGGCTTTGGACGTGGTCCTTGGCAGACGGTTCCATCACGAGGCAGGTGTCTGGAGCGAGAAGGATCATCGCCTGGCCAAGCCAGGGCTGCTGCTTGCGTGACCCAGACATGCAGCAGCAGCCGGTTTCACAGTGCTCTCACTCAGACACAGCCAAATTCCCGTTTACAGGAATAGGAAGGGGGCCCAGCCCTGTGAAGCAAACTGTGTGTCCTTAAGGTGTAAACAGAAATGCCTGGGGAAGTGGGAGCACTCAGAAGTAAGTCAGTAAGTCGCTGAGCTGCAGAAGGGCAGTTGCTTGCGCCGACCTTTGAATGGGCTGAAAACAGCAACAAGAGGAGCCATGGAGCTGCTGCTGTCCTGTGCTCTGTCGGGTGCTGTGATACTAGCCCCAGGGAACAGGCCAGGCAAGGGTGGTTTGATGCTATTCTGGCTCTAATCTAACCCAGGGTTCTGCTTGTCCTCTGTTTCTCCTGGATTTTTAAGTAGGAGATGACTAATGCCTTGGCTCTTTGGGTGAACATTTATGTAGAGAGAGGAAAGAAACAGAAAACCAGCATGTCTCCCACCCACAGAATCCGATCAGAAGTAGCATTTAGCTCTCTCTGGCTTTCATCATGCTCTGCAAGTGTTCACTAACTGTCTGGCACAGGGTATCAAAGGCTCAGAGTGGCTTTCTGGGGACCTGTGTCAGTTTTGAGTTGAGGTAGATATTTTTGTAGCAGCAGCGTTTCAGGCAGTGAGGAGGGTGATCGGGTCTCATTCTTTTGATGTCAGCTGATTGCTGCAGGGATCTGAAAGGCATCCAGCCCTCCTGCCCCCCTCCTTCTCTGCTCCCTGCTTCTGCCAGTGTGAATGCGACACCAAGGACACCTCTGCTTTCTAAACGGAGCCTGAGTGTCTCTGGGATTCACATGATGTAAGTGTCCTGACGTGACCCTCTTGCCTCCTCTCTTGGACAGATATTTCTCTGGGACCCGGCCACTGGCAGTCAGATCGGCCGGGTGCTTTCTGGCCACTCCAAATGGATCACGTGTCTGTGCTGGGAACCGCTCCACATGTAAGTGAAGGGCCAGCCCAGCCCTTTCCCTTTACTTGTGTGGAAAAGAGCAGCCTGGCCTGAAAGGCACTGCTCCTGTTCGCCTTTCTCCTGTTCGCCTTTCTCCTGTTCGCCTTTCTCCTGTTCGCCTTTCTCCTGTTCCAGGAGAAGGGCTGGGTGCAGGAGAACAGCCCCCAGGGTGGGCCAGCAAAAATGTGTCTGTTGGATCCAGGAGTCACAGCTGCTGCTCACAGTCCCATGAGGTTGCTGGGAAGTCACTGCCAGTCACTTCCCTTGTATAGATACACCTGCCTGTGGAAAACAGTGCTTGTATGCTGCTGGATGAACGCTTGAGCTGCTGAGCTGAGGGCAGGAAAGCTGCTTGTGTGGTGCCTGAGCTCAGGCTCTGCAAAGGACTCCCTTTCTGCTCTCCTGCATCCTGGTTGCCTCTGTCATCCTGTTTATTTATCATGAGGGCTGATTAACTGTGCAAGCCCCTTATCTCTTTGATCAGCTAAAGCTTTGTCTAGGAGAAATGGGTGGAGGGGGTTAGTTGTATCCTGTTATCCAAGACATGATAGAAACAAATAAATAAAAAGAAAGACGAAGAGCCCCTTCAGAACAGAGCCCTGCAAATTGAATTTGCCAGTAGGAAACTCCAGCTATTTGCAAACAATTCAATGAATTAGCAAAAATTGATTATAAAGGAAGATGAGAAAATGGAGAGAAGGGAGATGACCCTGCCAGGGCTCCATGTCTCATTCTGTAGCCAGCTGTGCTCCCTGATCAACTGCTCTGCAGCAGGAGGGGCTGTGCTCTTCCTTGCAGCTGTTCATGCCAGGGACCTCTTTCTTTGATGTTAAAACTGTGCTGAGTGATAAAGATGTTGTGCAAAGGACAGAGGGCTACGGCGGCTCCTACCCCTGTCCTTGCTGGGCTGTGGCCAGCTGCTTCCAGGTGTGTTAAATTTGCCCCCCTGAACTATGTGGATGGACTTTGCTGCTTTCAGCCCTGCCAGCACAGTGTCATTCTGTGTCCTCAGGCTGTTGGAAGAAAAGCATGGCATAGGCAGGAGAGCATTCAATGTGTTGCTGTTGCTACCCATCTGCACCAATCCCCCTGCCCCTGGCTCCCCCAGCCAGTGCCCAGGAAGGTGCCAGTTTGTGGTATCCTCATTAGCCAGTGGGTTAAAGCTCTGGAAACAAGGTCGTTGCCAAGGGCTCGGGTGCCAGGTTTACCCTGGATTGGTGGCTCCAGTGTGCAGCCCAGTCAGTTTGGAGGGAAGCATTTTTCTGCCTTTCCCCTCCCTTGTGAGATCTTGTTCTCTAGGTCAGCACTCTGCCCCTGTCCAGCCTCTCTCTGGTCTTAAGCCCAAAGAGAAAGTTGTCTTTTATTGACTCCTGCACCATTGAATCCCCTAGGGCTGATGGTGGAGGAGCTGTGTGTGGTGCGCAAATGGATTTGGTCTTCTTTCTTTCCAGAAACCCAGAGTGCCGCTACCTGGCAAGTGCCTCCAAGGATGGCAGCATCCGCATCTGGGACACACTGATGGGCAGGTGTGACAAGATCCTCACGAGCCATACGCAGTCAGTGACATGTGTGAAGTGGGGGGGTGATGGCTTGATCTACTCCTCTTCCCAGGACAGGACCATCAAAGTCTGGAGGAGCCAGGATGTAAGTGAGGCGGGTAGCGCTCAGGCTGGACACACTGTGTTGTAGTTTTGCTCTTCCTGGCACAACTTGTACCCCAAAAATGGAGGTGTAGAGTGGGTGCTGTATTCTCTTGACCTGTCACAACCTGTTGCTTGAAACCATTTGGGTAGCTGTTGTGCAATGTTTTCATCCCTAAAAGCATAAAGTGGGGCTAAAAGCTGGAAACACCCTTGCAGTGACCTGTGCTGGTGGGTACCGTGCAAGGCCCTGCAGGAAACTGTTTTGTGAAGCTCAGTAGTGTTACTTCTTCCCTGCTAAGCCTGGCTACAGTACTGCATGCAGCTTGGCCAAGAGGGTTTGGAAAGTTTAGGGTTGGTCCTCCCAGCCCAGTGGGTGCTGCCCAGTCTGTCTCTGTCCTGCTCATTGGTCTCTGAGCCATGGTTTTGTTTCCAGGGAGTCCTCTGCCGCACCTTGCAGGGCCACGCTCACTGGGTGAACACCATGGCCCTTAGCACCGACTACGTTCTGCGCACCGGGGCCTTTGAACCTGCTGAGGCCACCATCAACCCACAGGACGTACGTGGCTCCTGTAAGTGCAGCTCCTGCCCTGTGGGCTGGGGGAGGTAGTGAGGACCTGATGTCTCTTCTCAGTGCTGCCACAAGCCAAAGCAGTCTTGAGAGCTGGGAGCAGGACCTGTGCTGCTGGCAGCCGTGGTCTTCCTGGCTCATGCACAGGGTCGAGCAGTCTGGGGGATGTAAGGCCACTCTGTTTTCAGGGGATTTTGCTCCCAGTGTCATGCTTGGCAAAGAATGTGGGTGACCAGTCACACTGTGCTTAGCCCATGGAGCGAGGATTGGAATTGGCATCATAGTTTCTTTTCACCTAAGGTTGTGCAAATCTCTCTTTTCCCCCCCTCTGCCTATTTCAGTGGCGGAAGTGAAGGATAAAGCACAGCAGAGGTATAACCGAGTCAGGGTAAGTCCCTTTTGTCCCTACTGTAATTTCTAACACTATTACTGGTGGAAGCAGTAAACGTGCACAGTTGGCTGTTGACCCCAACATTGATGTGCTTTGGGCTCTCCATACATGGCTTGTACAAGACTCGGGCTCTTTCATCCCTTTCTCAGGGCCAGGAACCAGAAAGGCTCGTCTCAGGGTCAGATGATTTCACGCTGTTTCTTTGGAGACCAGCAGAAGACAAGAAGCCACTGGAGAGAATGACAGGCCACCAGGCTCTCATTAACCAAGTGCTCTTCTCGCCAGACACCCGGATAATAGCTAGTGCTTCCTTTGACAAGTCCATAAAGCTCTGGGATGGCAGGACAGGAAAGTGAGTTGGTTTGTTCTGTTACAGAGGTGGTGCTCGTATGGGGTCTCTGTGTAACACACAGGTCAGATCTTCAGAGCAGGCGCAGCTGCGGTGGGATGGGATGTTCCACTCGGCTGATCTCCTGGAGAGGTGTGTGTTGCACACTGCAGACTGACCCAGTTCACACAGTTCCTGTGCCAGAAAGTAGCTTGTTCTGGACAACGCAAATTCTTGTTACAAGTGGTGCTGTTGGTGTTTGGATGCTGCTTGTAGCATCCAAAATACTGCACCTTTTACCTTCAGCTAGAGTATTGATAAGCTCTCTCAGGGATAGGGCAGCCTTCCCTGTAAATCAGTCTTTATACTGATGGGCTTGGGTTTCATGTCAGTAATTTCAGTGGTCCTCCTAAATCCGGATTGCTCAGCCAGAGAGAGTAAGGATGCATCTGTACAGTAAGGCTGTACTGTTGCCTACTGAGTATGAGTTTCCTGGCAGAGAAGTTGAGATGAAGAGCCATCTAGAAGGCTCTGAGCCCCTCTGGGAGGGTTTTTAGACAGCTGAACCACCTATGGACTCTGTATAGCAATTGACTGCCTTGTGCATGCTGGTTTGGGGTGTGCTGGTGTCCTGTGACTGTGCTCACTTGCTTGGTGGAGAAGAAACATGAAGGCTGGGCAAGAGCTGGTTTGGAACAAACCCAGCTACCTGCTCCTCTTAACAGCTTCCTCCTGTGTCCTCCACACCAGGTACCTGACATCGCTGCGAGGGCATGTCTCAGCCGTGTATCAGATTGCCTGGTCAGCCGACAGCCGCTTGCTGGTGAGTGGGAGCAGTGACAGCACGCTCAAGGTCTGGGATACCAAGATGAAGAAACTGGCCATTGATCTTCCTGGCCATGCGGATGAGGTGAGGTGTCAGGCTGAAGTGTTTGAGAGGGGCAGGAGTGACCCTTCCTCCCAGCAGAGGTAACTCTATCTGTCTCTAATGCTAGGTTTATGCAACGGATTGGAGCCCGGATGGACAGAGGGTAGCAAGTGGAGGGAAGGATAAGTGTTTGAGGATGTAAGTAACCTGTTGTCTGTTCATAGAAGATATTGCAGCTACTCCCACGTGTCTTTCAGAGCTGCAGTTTCCTTGCAGAGACCTGCGTGGTTAAGGCATGATCTCTCCTTGCAGAGAGCACAGCGCTGGGCCAAATTCCAGCTTAGAGACCTGACCTCCCTGAGGGCAGAACTGCTGCTGTCCCCTGGGAGATGACTAGAAAGCAAAGTCCCTCCAGCTGAGCAGTCAGTGGTGAAACTTGACTCTGATGTCTGTTTTGGCTCCTGGAGAGGGGAAGGAACAGTTGTACCAGTTGGTCAGTCCCTTCCTGTCTCACCTTCCTCCCGTCTCGCGGTTATGTAGACGGACAAATTCCTGTGAGCTGGTTGCCATTTGACCATGGCTGATAAAGAAACCTAGGCCCTTGCTGTGCAGATGAAGGACCCCAGTGCCTGCTGGGCCACAAGGATGCATCAGCTCTTTCTGTTTGCAGATGGCGTCGCTAGGAGCAGTGACACGAAGCTGCTGGTGCCATCCTAAGCTGGGCTGTCCTCACCACAGGCTGGGAGATCCGCGAGGTGATGGATGATGGAGGCTGACATGAGCACGACATCCTGTTCCTGTTGGCTGCTCTCCCTCATGGACTCTTTCCTTATATTTATTTAAGGAAATTTTAATTCTAGTTCTTATTAAGAGCTGTGTTTTGCAGGATGATTTCCTCTGAGCATTACAGGAGGGATATCTCATCTACCCCCATCTCAACTGTCTTTTTTATTGAAATTTCATGTTTACAGTAGCCTGCTGCCTTGAAAGGGGCGAGCAAAGGGTAGGGATGGCTCCTGCCCCTTCTTGCTGTGTGAAGAATCCTGCAGAGGAAAAGGTTTTAGTGCAACAGACAGGGTTGTCCTTGTGTGACCTTCAGAGAGGGAAAGAGGAAGGGGAAAATTCAGCACATCATTACATTACACAACTGTGCTCGGCTGCATGCCTGGGACAAAGATCTGCTGAGGATAACATCTTGAGGCTTCCCATTATTCCAGTGAAGTTTTGCCTTTCCACAGCCCATTTCTCTGTGGGCTGTGCTGAGCATTATCTGTTAGCAATCCTCTGCATCCACAGGAGAGAGCTCATTCACTGTTCAGGGTGCAACAGGCGTGAACTTCAAATGACTGATGGAACTGTGCTGAGTTATCAGGGCTCAGTGACTCTTGGAAATGAGAAAATGAGGCAGTTGTGCCTCTAGATAGGGAAGAGAGTGCCTGTTTCCCATCCGCTGCCGACTCGAGGGGGGAAGAGGAAAGGGTGGGGAAGGGGAAGAACGGAGCAGGCATTTTGAGTGGTGTTTGTCCCTTGCCCTGGATACGTGCTGACGGCAGGGCTGGGACTGTCACAGTAAATGGCAAAACCTCCATTGCACAGAGTTCGCTCCTTGTGGAGTTTCTCGAGTGCATTTACTTGCCCAGTGGGTGAGAGGGATTCATACTGTCAGATACATATTTGTAAGCTTGCTTTTGAGCCTTTTTGTAAGTCAGTTCAGGCTTCCAGGAATCATGAGGTGAATAGACCTGACTTAGTGTTTATTTTCAGTGTTCTTACTTGCAAAACAGTAAAAATCCAGATGTGGTTATTGAAGAGTAGAAATTACATTGTCAGATTAGTTGCAGCAAGCTAGCATGAAGGTTAAAACGTTCTCCATAGCCCTCATGCTGCAGTTGCTGCTCAATGATTACTACAGCTCTAAACAGGAGTATGGTTTTCATGCTTTCCACCTGCAGAAGATGCATTTTAGGACTTTATTCCTGATGGCAGAATTGCTTTGGAGAATTAAGAGAGGATGGTGCAGTAAGGGCCATTTGCTTGTCTGCAGTTGTTCAGTTTAGCAAAAGACTGAACAAAGGGTTAAATCTTTAATATGACTGAGCACACAAGTTGTGGTTCCTCTTGTTGGTATCTCTTTCTGCCAGCCAAGTCAGCAGGCTCTATCTTCGTGGGATCATTTGGGAAGAACTCAATATCCTGTACCTGCTCTTTCATTAATGTGCTTCCTCCAGCTGGTTCTTGCTGACAGTGAAGGCCATGTTGCATCTATCTGCATAAACAAAACCCTTCTTAATTCACTAAGGTAAATGTTGTGGGATAGGGTGGTTTAAAACTGTAGGTGATAATTCTGCCTCCCCTGACTGCTGTGCCCTTGGGAAGGAGGAGCACACATGCGGCTGACATCTCTGGTGGCAGCTGAAGAGCTGCTTGTTCTGCACTGTTTTGGGGCTCCTTGTACTAAAGGAACTGGTCCACCCTTGGAATTCTCTGTGTCCCCAGGTTTGACTTACTGAAAGTGGCAGCTTCAGCAACTGCTGGTAGAATGTGACTCAGAGGGAAGAAGCATCGATCTCTGCTTCCTCTCCCAAAGTGCGGCACGTGGTCACTGTGCCCTGTGAATCCACAGTGTGTTTTGCATTAGAAGTAGGGATGTATTTGAGTTAGGGGAAGAATCCTGTCTGGGGGGCGGACTGGCTTGGCTGCACGTGTACATGTGCCTAAAGAGTACTTCCTCATCCACTGATTTTCAAACCAAAGCAGTCTCAGTACCCTCTGGCCGTGCTCCGAACCTCAGACAGCTCCTGCCTTCCCTTCAGACAGCTTCTTTGACACAGCCTGACTAAAACCCACCTTCCTAATGCTGAAGCAGAAAGGTTTTCCAAGGCAAAGCAAGACCTCTTGAAGAAAGAGAGGGCTTTGCAACAAAGTTTACACCAAAATACACTGTCTTGCCCTTAATCTTTCTTTGACCTGGTAGCGGGTAGATTTTGAACCAGGCTGTGTGATGGCTTTGCACTTAGACCAAATCTAATTTTCTTGTCTTAAGCAGCTGCTGCTATTTTTATCATTCCTACAGCACCAGCCTTCATGCATACTAAGTGCTGGCCCCATTCCAGCTGTATTCCCAATCCCGTAACACTCCTCCCAGTTTTATTTGAATGCAGCATTTCCCGGGCCTTGCTCTTCAGTCTCCTGCCAGCTCTCATGCATTGAGGAAGAGCTGCTGCCCTTCACTTCAGAGGTGGCTCCTTTTTGGCAAGGGGTGAAACAGGCACGTGACCTCCCTCGCTCTGCTGGCGATGGTGATGTGAGCTTTAATTAGCTAACTTCGAGAATTGCAGATGAAGATTTGGGTTTATAGTGTCACTAATGGGGGAAGACATTGTTTAGAGGGCAAATCTAAAAGGTAGGCCAGAGCTTTCTGACTGCATTTTCTGGGAACTACATCATTAACCTTACAAAAAGCCTGCTGAAACACTTTTAACTTCTCCAATGCTGTGTGATAGGAATCTCAGTATCTGCTGCTGTGTATCAGCCCTGTTTCTCCCAAGTTACTCGTTAAGCTTACCACACAGGTATGCCTATCACAAGGGTGTTATTTCGCACTGGTAATGTAGGAATAATTTTAAACATATCCAGAAACTTAGTCCCACAAGCCTTCTGACACTTTGTTCTTTAAAAGCTGTGATAGCTCAGCTGATGCCACCATTAATTTTGTTACAAATGGGATGGTGGTGATGATGATAAGGACTGGGAAGCATGCCAGTCCTCAGAGGAAGGTTTACCTAATAAATTCCTGGGTTATAATGGAGGGGAAAAAAGGAGAGAAGAAAATGATAACACCTAGAATGAGGGAGATTGTTTGGGATAGCGCTGAGATGAGCAGGACAGTACCAGAGTCTTGCCTTTGGGGGTTGATTTAGATAAGTGAGGCCTTAAACATCCTCACAAAAACTGTTCTCAGGGCTGTGTGTTCTGGTTATCTGTGCTGAAGGGCTGGCCAAGTGGCGTACACATTGTGCTCCTTGGGTCCTTGGGGGCACATGTTCGTGTTCTGCTTGACTCAGCTGATTTCTGATTATTTTCCCAGATCAGAAATCTAACTTCCATGTGCGTTGCCTGGGGGAAGATACAAGAAAAATCTTTCAATGAACAGGAAGAAAATAGTCTTCATTCATTGTTATGCATGAACATTAAGAACAATAGCTGTCTTTCTGCTTTTCTTTGGGACAACACAGGTGCCATTAAGGTGATGTTTCCACCTCAGAAAGGGCTGTATTTCAGTGATGTGGCAGAAAAAGGCTTGCTGGGAAGACCAGTAGCGTTTTTGAGGATGAAATGCGTTACAGAAACCCAGAGTGGTGTCTGTGTTCTGGACAGCTGCTAGCACATGAAAACACTTCTGTGTACTCAACCAACCAACCTGGAAGATCCCAATTCCTTTCTAGATTTGTTGCTCTTGTGACCATTAGTCCTGGCTCACATCTGAGGGTCTAATTTGTCTGAACCAGCATAGTGCAGCTGGGAGGGAGCCACAAATCCATCTCCAGCGCTGTTATTCTGTGTTTTCTTCACTCTGACCCTGTAAATCGGTGGTCCTTGCTGAGCTGGAGGTCACTGGTGGTCTCTGTCAGTACGCTGCAGGGTGATGTTGAAAATAAACAATCTCGAGACACAGTACTCTCTGCTTCTGAAGGATCACTGTGGTCAATGAGACATGGTACTGGTGCCTGCTGCCTGGCCATGCGTTCTGAGCACACTGTGTGTTTTATTGTCCTGCTGCCTTGCTTGTCAGAGCAGAGCAGTGCATCCCTCCTAGTGCTGCAGGGCTGCCAGCACTAAATGGTGAATATCTGTGTGTATTCCTTGAGCAAGGGAGGAGCAGCACGAGCCCCATGGGTTTATCCTGCATCGCTCTCCCAACACCTCAAGTAATTCAGTCTGTTTTGACCTCTTTCAGCAGCAAAAGCAAGTGGAGGTGCTGTTTGTAAATTGGTTTATTGTAGTCCACAGGTGCTGGAAATACTGACATGTAGAAGCTCCCCCAGATGCTAATCAAGGACCCAGCTCAGATGAGTGACCTGCATGCAAATCCCACAGTCCTTATGCTTTTCAGACATCAGTTCTTCAGATCCCATTCAAATCCCAGTGCGAGGCAGCATGTTTAGTTATTCTGGTCAAACCTCCCTGCTGCTCTTGGCTGTTTTGTCCTTGCTGTGCTGAAACAAACCTGCTCGAGGGCTTCAGCCCCATTACGAGGACAAAAGGAAATCAGGCATGCTACCAGAGGGAAATGGGTCTCAGTTTTGAACAGTAATGCAGAATGGGTGGCTTAGAAATTCCTGTAGTGTATTTCTCTGTCCAAAAGGCATCCTTATGGATTATTCTAATTCTTTATTATTTTTTAGCTTCCCTAAAATGTAGCTTGTGACATTCAGGTGAGGATACATGCTGGTGGCAAGAGGATTAATAGTGAATATGAGAATCAGTGGATGGCAATAAACAGCCAGTTCTCTGGGAGATTATTTTCTGAATCAGAGTAGCTAACACATTGAGACTTGTGGGCTTTTCCTGGGTTTAATGGGGCACTGTGAATGCACACTAGAAAGTGGCTGTGTTACTACCAACACCTTCATTTATTG